GGTACCTGGGTTGCGGGGCCGTTAAAGACAACGAACGGCAGCATTCACAAAGCTGTACCATGAGGCTCACCCGTGCTCCCTCTGCAGTCCATGGAGAAAGGCCAGGTCCTCCAGAGGAGGTTTCAGAGCGGTTAGCTGGCGCCTGAAGCCACAGGAGGGGGGGAAAATCCCATCTCTGCATCGGTTACAGAACATCTCTCCTCCCAGCGTTTCAGATCTGCCTGTCTGCAATGAAGCTAGCGTAAACCCTACGTCTTGCGAGGTGCAGCGTCCGTGCTCGCCAAGCCCGCTGCCTTCCGTGTGACTTCCAGCACTGCTCAGCGTGGGAAGGCAAGCCGCCCTCAGCCAGGGGGAGAAGAGGAAAGGACAAGCTTCACATTGGATGCACGGGTGCGGAACGATACGGCTTTCTGCTTCCCAGGGTGCGAGGCGTTCTTTCTAAAACCACACAGGGTGCACTGTTAAGCAGCTTCCCTCCGGGGGCCGGCGTGCAGGAGCAGCAGCGTGGCTTCCTAAGGCAGCAAGCGGAGCTCTGCACCAGGGCACTCCGGCTAATGAACCGAAAGCATTATTAACTAAGCCAATACCAGCCTAATGGGAAATCTGTCCCTGCGTATGTTGTGTAACTTCTGTATTACTGAACCAACTAGGAATTGTTTAATAACAAAGCCAGCAGGAAACCTTCAAGTAGCAGGAGAGCGAGGAGACGTGCACGTGTTTGCCAATTACTTCTGTGAATGCTCAAGCCTCCCAGGTTTCCTGTCCTGAGCAGGGATTTCCACTTTCTGTTGGGTTACATCTTCAGTTTCCCTAGGAGGGATTTCTGTGGTCAGCTGGGAGCTAGCAGTGTGTGTCTACATCCACCAGTTTAGATTCACAGCATGGTTTGGGTTGGAAGGGACCTTAAAGACCATCTAGTTCCAACCCCCCTGCCATGGGCAGGGACACCTTCCACTAGACCAGGTTGCTCAAAGCCTCATCCAGCCTGGCCTTGCACACTTCCAGGGATGGGGCATCCACAGTTTCTCTGGGCAACCTGTGCCAGTGCTTCACCACCCTCTCCATGAACAATTCTTTCCTGATATTCAATTTAAATCTACCTGCTTGGAATTTAAACCCGTTACCCCTTGTCCTGTCACTACAGGCCCTTGTAAAAAGTCCCCCCCAGCTTCCTTGTAGCCCCTTCAGGTACTGGAAGGTGCTATAAGGTCTCCCCGGAGCCTTCTCTTCTCCAGGCTGAACAAGCCCAACTCTCTCAGCCTGTCCCCATAGCAGAGGTGCTCCAGCCCTCTGAGCATCTTCGTGGCCTCCTCTGGACTCGCTCCAACCAGTCTATATCCTTCTGATATTGAGGGCTCCACAGCTGGACGCAGTACTCAGGTGGGGTCTCATGAGAGCAGAGTAGAGGGGAAGTTCCATCTTCAGGCTTCCCTTTTGACCACCTGCAGCACAGCAGCTGTTGTTCAGCCAGCTTGGATCTCACCAGTAATGACAACAACGTCATTTGGACACGTATTTGCTGTTCAGGTTTTCAGAAACTACCAACTTGATTTGACGCCAGATGGAGTTTTGGTTTTAGAAGAGGGCGTGCACACACTGAGACACCAAAATTAACTTCTAGTAACAACCAATGTATTTCCCTTAGTTCTACTACATCAAACTGCATTTTTGCCTTTGCTTCTCTCACAAATGATGAATAAATGTTCTGAAACAATTAAACTAAACAAACTGAAATTTTACGTTGTAAAGGTTTTACAAGTGTCGTTATGAGGATAAAACTACAATTCTGTAAATGAATTATGTGCTGTAAATGACTTGCACTCACCCTTGTGCATCCTTTTGGAATGTATTAAATAAACTGTTGAGATTTCTGCAAGATTTTCATCTGTATTCCCCATAACATTCAGATGCGATGCTGGAGATTTTTTAAAAACGTAATTTTATTTATTTTTTAATATATATATTTCTGTTCAGAGGAAGCATTCAATGTTAAAAAAGTCATTAATTGCCAAGTTTAACTCATAGACTGGTGGCTGGCATAAACCTTAAACTAGATTGTGTTGAGTAATGCTGACAGACAGGTTGCAAATACCATAAAATTACTGAAAAGAAATAAAACATCTAATGCTAAAACTACCATGGATTCCTTGGAGGACAAGGTCTGTCTAAACACTTAGGTAAAGAGCTCTTTCATGCTAAGATATTCAGTATGAGAGATTATTTTAAGACTGTTTCGTAAAGCCTTTTAGTTAAGACAAACAGAACCAGACTCCAGATTAAACACAGAGTCTGACTCCTCAAGCCTCATGGCCACGTCTTCCCTGGCCTTCAAAGGAGTTCCTTCCTGGCTGTAATTTTGGGATAACTTCTCCCGAACAGTTTTTGCAACTGCAGCTTAATTCCTAATCAGTCATTTAATTTCTTTGTTTTATTACAAAGTTCACCTGAAAATAAGCATATGTTTTCTTTTTCCTCTGAATGTGACACCAAAAATAAAACTTGCAATCCCATTTTCAGTAATTTGCTGCTGAAAGCAGATAGTGCTGATTGCACGAACCCGATACGAGCAACGAGGAATTAAACTTCTGGATACACTAAAGATAAATGAATTGCTTTTTTCAAAAGAAAACCCGACAGCTTGTAGGAAGCAAGTCACTGGCAAACAAAAGAAACCACAGAAGCATGAGAATATCATAAACCTATTAACATTACACAGAATAAAATGTTAATCTCCACTCCATAGTAAAATGATTTGCCAAAGTATCAGCAGCCAGAGGTACGAGGAGCCTTGCCTCCAAGGCCCAGCTGGAGCAAAGCGCACTGGGGGCGGACACGCACACTTCTGTGATACAGACGGCTCCGGCTCCGTTGTGTCCTTGCTCCTTGCTGACGCCAGGCTGGCTGCAGGCTGTCGCTGCCAGTCCCACTGGCCCACCTTCCTGCCATTAGCTATCTCCTCCTCGAAGCTCCCATCACCAGAAGACACCAGCAACTTCCAAAATAAACCAGCTATCCAGTCTCCTGTTGCCCCCGGAGCAAAGCAGTCCAGTTTGAGGGGGGAGGCTGAGGCGTTTTACTACGTTTTCTTGCATCCTCTCGTTCTGGCGGGTGACTGGCTGCATGTCCCCAGATGACAAGAACACAAGCATTTTCTCTGCAGCACAGTTTAATGCAGAGCTCCAAGTAAAGACTGTGGCGGGAAGAACAGCAGGCAGGCGCACGCTGCTGCTTTCCCAGCTGCTCGATTTCCCTGCAAGAGACCACGGTGCCGAGGCTCAGGCGGGAGGGCTCCTCCTCAGCACAAGGTCGCCTGATGGCTACTGACATACCGAACACACGCTCTGTAATCTCAGTGCTCCTTAGGTGCCATCCTTATGGCTTCCTAATGCAGTCTCTCCTGCCCCTCCTCTGGCTGTGGGCTGCTCTGCTACCTATCTCACCATGGGAGGTTCCCCTCCTCTCAAGGCTCCTCCCACTAAACCCCAAAGAAATTACAATACAGGGCCTGCTGAGCTTATACAGAGCTTTGAGAGTAACATCGCTGGTGTCATGCCTAGAAGAGATGGAAAAATCATCACAGAGTGGTTTGGGTTGGAAGGGACCTTAAAGTTCCAACCCCCCTGCCATGGGCAGGGACACCTTCCACTAGACCAGGTTGCTCAAAGCCTCATCCAGCCTGGCCTTGAACACTTCCAGGGATGGGGCATCCACAGCTTCTCTGGGCAACCTGTTCCAGTGCCTCACCACCCTCTCCTCTTCCTCACACAGTGGTGAGATTTCTTGGTTGTTTTTCTTGAGACATGCCCCCAGTCCACCTTTTGAGTCTGTTACCATGAACCTCTCTTGAAAGGTTAAGCTTTCACCTCAGCCAAGACAAGTCGGACAACTGGGAGAGGGGGAGAGGAAAGGCCTTGAGAGCTTTACAGCTAATTCTATCTCCTACACATGGCAGCCAACCAGGAAGATGAATGTGGACCTGGGACTACCCACTCCCTAAGTAACATGCACACCTCTGTGTCCACAGATGCCAATCATTTACCTAAAAAATGTACATCCATAATCGCTAAATGTTAATTTTTATTTGTTCCTTGGTTTACTGTTTACGATCTTACATATAACTTTTCATTTTGGAGTAATAAACATTTCATTTAATTTTCATTGGGCTTATGATTCCTCCAACACTTGCTTACTGTAACCTTAAATTCCTGAGATACTGCAGCATTCCCTGTCACAACCTACAGTAAGATAAACATACTCATTCACCTTCCACAATACAATTAAAGCAAAATAGTTATGACCCAAATTGCAGCTCCTGTTCCTTGTGATAGAATGAGGATTGTTGTTTCTCACTGATACGATTTGTTGAAGAGGGCTGAGAGACTCAATGCACACTCACACATCAGTGTACAACTTTTAAAGCTTACAACAGGTCTTCTATTTCCAGTTTAATATTATGATCAGGAAGGTAGACAAACCAGACACCCACACAGGATCTGGTGGAATCACCCACCAGGAACCAGCAGGCGAGCAGTTCACAGTAATGAGGGCATGAACCACGTGAACTTTCCTTTCTGATCTAGGATGACTTGATTTGCATGGGTTGTGCAAGTGGTTTCGCCTTCTGGACCTCTATCCTTGCCAGGAAAAGAGAGCTGCTGCGTTAGTGGCCAGCTGAGATGATGTTCAGTCTTCCAACAGACAATATTGCTGTGACGTTCCTGCCAGTGGCCACCAATAAATCCTGCGTACCCTGTATGTCACAGTGCAGGGCCGGACTCCACAGCGGAGTAAACAACACTGTTCCCTAGAACAAGAGTACTTCCGTACGGAGGTCAAAAGTGATAACTGCTCTGTAAACCAAAAACTATTGCATTAGAAACTGGGTTAATTAAAGTTTAACTATAGTAAAAAAAGAGAGTATTTTTGATTCAGCTGTTGTGTAAACAGGACAGACAACCCCCCTAAATAACAACATTTATAGCAAAAACCAATGGACTGCTTTAAAAAGGACTTTTTCCGGTTTGCTTCCACAATTCTTTGGCTCCTTTAATGCTTTCTCTTTTCACACACTTCCAGTAACCTTGAATGCCTTGCTGCTGCGGTACCTGTAATAGAGTTAAAACGTGTTTAGCATTTACAGAACTCTTACTCACAGGCTGTGCAAATGTAATACGTAACGCAATGCCGCTGCTCCCATAGCTCGCACGCATAGTAACAAGTTCTTGGTGGCAGCACTCCTCCCAGATTCATAAACAGTGAGGAGTCTTCAGTTTACACTGCCTCTACTCGTGTTTGTATTCACCGCCTCTACTTGTGTTTCTACAAGCGTTAACAAGAGAGTTGTAGCAATCATCTGTGGTATTTAAAAACGACGACGTTAAGCGTGTTACCCTCAAACCGCGATGAATTCGGTTCCTCAGGACTCCAAGAAACTCGCCGTGGCTGAGGCAGTCATCTCCATCTAGATCGAAAATCTTGAAGATGGTATCCAAAACGTTGTCTGAGAGCTCCTGTCCTGTCGCCACTTTCACTGCTCTCTTGAACTCGGCTAGTAAAGACACAACACCACATCAGAGGGGACTGTGAACGTGCGAAGACGCTGGAAAGCACACGAATAGCAGGATTCTGTACAACTTAGAGTGTCTCAGGGGTATCCTAACTGGAGAACGTGATGTGTGTGAACTGGTAAACTATTAGGAGGCCTGGGTTCATACGGTTTTGAGCTTGCTTCGTCTTTCATAACCTACTAACTGTACGATACACTTCTGAAACGCACTACTGCTTCTCAAGCAAGAATGGTCATTTTTGTTAGAAATAGCCTCATGCTGACAACTGAGGTACTTCTGGCTGATACCCGTGCATAATGATGATACGTGTTTGCCTCACTACGGGCTCATAAAAAATACCACTGTTTTATCTCTAACCACTTTCAGGCCGATTCGTTCTCCAAGAAAAGTACTTTCTGATATGCTCCACCTCAACCACGGATCCCCTCAGCAGCTTTGCAGAAACACAGACCATCAGATACTCGAACCACAGTTCACAGCACATTCACAGATTCGCAGAGAGGTAGGGGTTGAAGGGATCTCTAGAGATCTTCTAGTCCAACCCCCCTGCCTTTACACACCTGTTTTTTAGAGAAATAGGCTACCTCCTCTTAAATTATGATGGAAGACTTCATGAGGATTTATGGCAGAAAAAGCTGTCGTAGCTCTCTGGAGATCTACTTTCCTCTTCAGCTTTTTGGCCTTCTCTCTTCACACTACCACGTGCATTACAGTGATACCTACTATTCCCACTTTTGGTCCTGTGGTGTCAAGAATTTGGAGTTTTGGCTCAAGGGAGATGAGGAAATGTGTGGGGTTGCTGTAAACCAGCAGACAGGAAGAGTGAAGCAATTACTGTTGACTAGAGCAAGCACAGTCACAACACATGAATTGGATGCATTTTTGAAGGTGTCGGGGAAGTGTGAATTTCAAGGAGGGACTGGAGGTTATTAAAGTACAGCAGTATTGTAGATCGTTACAGCAAGTTGTCCAACTAAGTCACAGATATAGTAACGATGTGGTTCTGCTTTCATAAACAAACGCTGTTTATTAACAGTGTTATGAATTTGAACAGTTCTGAAGTTTACTAGAGGAAGGAGCACTCCTGACTTAGTTGTCATCTTGGCTTCTTTGAGCAACTCCTAATGGTACAAATGCAGTTGATAATTTTAAAACAACTTTAATTTAAAGTTGAAAATCCTTCTGTAAAAGGCTATACCATGACTTGAAAAGGACAGGAAATATGGGGTGCTTATCGTAGCATCTTAATTTGGTCTTTAAAAAGATGCTACCTGTTTGAGCTCTTGAAGCTAAACGTAAATCCAGAGACGGTACCGCGCTTTTTGCAACAGAGCACGAAGGAGCGAGGTTTTCTAAAATGGTGAAGCGTAATAACCTTCAACCCAAGAAGGACCACCCTACCCGAGAGAAAAGACGAGCTGCTAACTTAGAAGACAAAAGAAGTCTAGAGTAAAAGGAAGGACTAAAGGACTGTCTTGGTTTTAGATCAATATTCCTCTGTGTGTAAATGCACACACCCACCCATGCCAACAGCAAGACAACTTTGTGAGACTGGGGAAAGGATTAGACACGTATACACGTAACATCCGTGAGCTCCTTCAGAAGCTGACTGTTTCCGATTACAGATCACGCTGCAGCCTTCAACCACCTAAAGGGGGTTAGAGAGAAGAGAGCACCATATTCTTCTCAAAGGTGATGGAAGTAAGACACAATCACTGTAAGCTGCAGCAAGGGCTTGACACAGCAGAGTCTTCACGATGAGAGTGGTTAAGCACTAGAACAGTCGTCCAGAGGCTGTAGAAACAAAACTCTTCCTGAAGGCTGGACTAACTTGGGATGAAAGTCTCAAGTCATAACCACTCCCCCCACTTTTGGCCTACTTTGGTTCAAACGCCACCCAAACTTTTCTCTCTCAAGAATTCTCTGTCTTCCCACATCTCTCACCTTTTTAACGTAAGCCCATCAAATATTTATTTCAATGAATGTTAACGACTCATCACATTTCCTTTTACGTCACTGTTTTTAAATAACTTAATGAGAGCTGTCTTTCAAGTGTACCCCGTAAGGAACAACGTCAGGATTATAACAAAAAGCATTTGTATGTCCATGAAACTTTGTTGCATTGTGTCCTATTTCTACTATATGGGAAAGAAGCAACTTCCCTCCTCCAAATCTGTGTTTTAAAAAACACTTTATGACATTGTTTTTCATAGCCATGGTTGCATAATTCTACATAAGCAAATGGAGAAGGCAATAGGGAGGCATAAGTAAAACAGAGCAAGATGCTGAAGACAATGCAAAAGAAGAGACTTCTATTGCTTAGTATCCTCAGAAAACTAGTTTCACCATGAGGAAAAAGCTCTGTTACCATGAACTGCTACTAAATCACATATTGTTTCAACAAATTCTTACTCATCTAGAATTTAGAATGGATAGAGAGCAGCCCTGAGGAGAAGGACTTGGGGGTACTGGTGGATGAAAAGCTGGACATGAGCTGGCAGTGTGCGCTGGCAGCCCAGAAAGCCAACCGTATCCTGGGCTGTATCCAGAGCAGTGTGGCCAGCAGGTCGAGGGAGGGGATTCTCCCCCTCTACTCTGCTCTTGTGAGACCCCACCTGAAGTGCTGTGTCCAGCTGTGGAGCCCTCAACATCAGAAGGATATAGACTGGTTGGAGCAAGTCCAGAGGAGGCCATGAAGATGCTCCGAGGGCTGGAGCACCTCTGCTATGGGGACAGGCTGAGAGAGTTGGGCTTGTTCAGCCTGGAGAGGAGAAGGCTCCAGGGAGCCCTTATTGCAGCCTTTCAGTATATAAAGGGGACTTACAAAAGAGATTGAGCATCTTCTTACCAAGGCCTGTAGAGACAGGACAAGGGATAAATTGAAAGTGGGGAGGTTTAGGTTAGATATCAGGAAAAAGTTCTTCCCGGAGAGGGTGGGGAGGCACTGGAATAGGTTGCCCAGAGAAGCTGTGGATGCCCCATCCCTGGAAGTGTTCAAGGCCAGGCTGGATGAGGCTTTGAGCAACCTGGTCTAGTGGAAGGTGTCCCTGCCCATGGCAGGGGGGTTGGAACTAGACGGTCTTTAAGGTCCCTTCCAACCCAAAC